ATATATTATCTTTTCAAATAAAATTTAAAAAAAATTTTAAAGCAATTAGCAGCCTTTACAATTAATTTTTCTAAGTGAGGAGATGGCTTATAAATCAGACCCTTATGAAAGACAAGATAGGAACTATCCAGTGGTTTCCATTGTTATCTGAGTAAAATCTACCTCCGTCATGACTGCCAAGATCTCAGTCTATGTCCCTGACCTCATCTAACACTTACCCTTCACAGTCACTATGCTTTAGTCACTCAGGCCTTTAATTCTACTTAGCACACCAGGCTCTTTCCTGAGCCTGGAAAGCTCTTTTTTCCCTCAGATCTTTTCATAGCTGGCTCCTTGTCATTTAAATGTTCTATCAAAGTATAAGATCTTCAGAGAGGCCTTCCCTGACCCCCTACTTCTACCCTATCCCTCTCATTACATTACCCTATTTTATTTTCTTCATTATCACTACCTGAAATGATCTTGTTTCAAGTTTCTTACTTGTCTATTGTCTTCCCCACCAGAAGTTAAGCTCAATCAGAGAACAGCATCCCCTGTACCTAAAATGGTATCATAACAGGCACTCAGTAAATATTTGTTCAGTGAAATTGTTGTTGAATAACTAGACTACTGTCTTTGGGGATCATATTCTTCCTTAATGAGCTCCAGTTAAAAAGTTAAAGTTTGGGAGTTGCTGAGTAACAGCTACAGGAATCCAGGCACACTTTTAAAACAATAAAACATTTTCAAAAAGAAAAGTATCAGTTCATCTCACTCCAATTTTAAATAACTCATTCAATATGTTCCAAAACTAGGGGTGCCTGGGTGGCTCAGTCATTAAGCGTCTGCCTTCGGCTCGGGTCATGATCCCAGGGTCCTGGGATCGAGCCCCGCATGGGGCTCCCTGCTCAGCGGGAAGCCTGCTTCTCCCTCTCCCACTCCCCCTGCTTGTGTTCCCTCTCTCGCTGTGTCTCTGTCAAATAAATAAATAAAATCTTAAAAAAAAATATGTTCCAATACTATACTCTCCTTCGATTAAAAAAAAAAAAAAGTCCAGGAAAACTTGGGATAAAAGGTAAGCCTGTACAGCTAAATGGGGGAGTTCCTAAATCTATAAGACAACAGTAACATAAGGAAGTTTTCTAGAATAGGGCAATCCTGGTTATAGAAAGTACCACTACAACAGCTGCCAGGAATTCAGGCTAGACCTTGAGAGTTCTTTCAAGTTGAAGCCTATATAATAAAATTCCAGTATATTGATAAAACTGAGGCAGATCTTTAGCATCTTTACTTAGATTTGACCTTAAATTTTCACATCTGACATGAGGTTTGATTCCCTTAAAATTGACATGTAAACATATTTAACATTAAATATATACACATGTAAACATGTCCATGTATAAATATATAGAGACAGACATATCTCAGAACACATAACTAAGTTTTTTCTATACCAGGCTCATTTGCAGAACCTATTTTCTGCTGTAGCCAAATATTTATCTAATTAAGAGGTTGAATTATTCTCGCAACTATTATTATTTAAGGAAAACTCAGAAACAAGTATACTAGTATGTATGCAGGTCAGTACCTTTAAGATTCCCCAGTTTACAGATACCTTAGGCAAGCATAGACGCTGAAATGATTGTAAGGATTAGATATACTTTCAAACATAAAAAGGCTATTTTACCTTCTTCTCCTCAATCTAAGTGTTATAAAATGGAGATTTACAGAAATAGCTTGGCTAGTAAGGCTCATCCAAAGCCAAGATGAAGATGAACAATAAGGTACATGAAAGAATCTCAAGTCACGGAAAGCAGTGGAATAACCAACAGATAGCTCCCACTGGCTCCCAAACCTTAGTGTGTGCTGGCTGTTTACAGGCTTTTACTGCCCTTCTCTACAGGTTATAAATAACTGCAAAGTGTCCTTGTCCCCAAGGAGACCTTTGCAGCCAGCTCAAAGGTTAAAATATGGAATAATTCTCACTTTGGATGAAACTCTTCCAGTTACCAGAAAAATGAAAGAGCAAAAAAATTTATTGCCCATCTAAGTTAAAGGCTGGGGAATCATTCCCTCTCCCTAAAATCTATCATTTATATAAAAGTTGTTATACAGACTTCTTAGCATAGTTCACCACCCCAAAAATATATCCAGGGAGAATGCAATACATGCTGTTCCAAAAGCAAAGGTCTGTCCTGAAAGGGGCAGATGCCACTCAACAGTCTTATAGGATAGCATCTCTTCAGACCTTAAAGAAAGACTTCTTGAATTCTTTTGCTCTTTAATTTAGGTAAAAATGACTAACTGAGCTAAATGCATCTTGTCTCCACTTGGATGAGGGATCCAGCACAAGCAATCATGGTTGCAACAAGCATAGGTTTCACAAGGTCTGGGCTAATACAATCAGGTGATGTGCTAATGTTGTTAATTACTGAACCCCTGCTAGGAAAAAAAGTAAAAACAAAAACAACTCTTCCAACTGCTAAAAAAAAAAAAAAAAGGCAGCGTTCATCAGATCAAGCATCTCCACACATCACTTTCAAAATCCATCATTTGGGAGATGTCTGAAATGGAAAGACAGGAATCCAAACAAATCTGATTATAAAGGGGCTATTTCACTTCAAAATGGATCTCAGTTCCAAAGGAAAACACCTTTAGAAATGAAGTTAGATAGGCAAAACCAAATAATCAGCAACTTCTCTCTTTTCACAAATTATAATTATGTGTTGATTCCACTGATGACTTGGACAAAAATCTCCAGGGCCACAAAGAGCAAACTGAGGAAAGAAGATTTTAACACATCCCACATGTTATCAAAGATTTCTCCTCTAGGTTGAGAAAATTCATTCTAAAACAAGAGCTAGAACAGAATTTAAAAAAAGAAGCAGGAGGAGGAGGAAGAGGGGAAAAAAACCTTATGGCTAAGAAGATATGTTTATTATATAATTATATTCTCAAAGCTGTTTCGAGATTTGGGAGGTTATAGTTTTTCACCCTCTCCCTTCAACTACAAACTACGAAGAACCTTATAAAATTCAAATAGTAAACAGATGAAAGGCTTGGCCGTAATACAATTTAAGAGTGTCCAATCTGCAAGGAGTTCAAAAACAGAAGACTCATTTCATGAAACAAACAGGCAGAGGTTGCATAACCCCACAACGTCCTCTGGCCTTTCTGGAAACCAAATTCAACATGCAGTTCTCTTTGGCCATCAATACTTTAGTCAAGCCATTTAAAAATGTTTCTTACTAACACAGTTTGGCTACAGAAAGAGCTCAAGGGGGCGCCTGGGTGGCTCAGTTGGTTAAGCAACTGCCTTCGGCTCAGGTCATGATCCTGGAGTCCCGGGATCGAGTCCCACATCAGGCTCCCTGCTCAGCAGGGAGTCTGCTTCTCCCTCTGACCCTCTTCCCTCTCGTGCTATCTCTCATTCTCTCTCTCTCAAATAAATAAATAAAATCTTTAAAAAAAAAAAAAAAGAAAGAGCTTAAGGAATACATAGCAAAGAAGATCATCTAAACTGGTCTTAAGGTATACTATGTGTACTAAGTTCATTAACTTCAAAGCTGAAAAGGCCCATCCACTCCAGAAAATTTGGTATACTACAAGGGCAACCAATTCTCTTCAGCATTAACTACTACTATCTAGCAGTACAGAATTTGGTATTCTCCGGAGACACTGTTCTTTATAAGAGACACTAAGGTCGGGCACCTGGGTGGCTCAGTCGTTAAGCGTCTGCCTTCGGCTCAGGTCATGATCCCAGGGTCCTGGGATGGAGCCCCGCATCGGGCTCCCTGTTCTGCGGGAGGCCTGCTTCTCCCTCTCCCACTCCCCCTGCTTGTGTTCCCTCTCTTGCTGTGTCTCTCTCTGTCAAATAAATAAAATCTTTAAAAAAAAAAAAAAAGAGACACTAAGGTCTCCCTTCAACTATGAAAGAGAGGGAAGTATATTTTTGCTTTAATCTCCTTTAACCGTGGTTTTACCAGAAAAAATCTGATGACTATTCACATGGATCCATGTCCATGCTCCTTACTTAGAAACCATCTGCAGAAAAGAAATTCCCTCTTCTTCTAAAGTTATTAAAAATAAGCCAATTTCTATGTTAAGGTTCTAACTAAGCTAAATGGAACAAAGGACGGGCAGGAAGTTCTCAGTTTTAAATGTTCATTCCAAAATTCATGACACAAGGAAAAAGTAAAACCACACAGGCAGACAAAACAGGGGCAAGTTAGACAGAAAGTCTGTCTTAACAGAATTTCCTGGCTCCCAACAATTTGTGTCAGATTTTAAAAGACTAAAATGCAGTAATACCTATTTTACCCAATAAAACTCTGTAAAAACATACATAAACATTTGAGGCATGAATCTCATATGAAAAAGTAAAATTTTTAAGATGCTGGCCTAAATGGCAGGAACATCTTTTCAAGTTACCCATAAAGAGATGAGCTCTACATACATACACAAAGGCAATCTGCTCAGAATCAAATGCCTTGAACAGAGTAAAATGAAGCCATGGCTTGCTTTATTTCCTTTTATAAACTGTAATTCTCATTTCCCTGAAGATCTTTTCTAGGGAGAAAAATCATCTTACTCTAAGGTCTCTCTCTATATCATGTATTATCAACCACTGATTACAAACGTAAATCCCAACTTTTCTCCCTTCCACCATTAGTGTAAAGCCTTATATTATATGCTGCAGTCACCAGAAAAGATCTGAACAAATAGCTATGGTTTACTCCAGGAAAGAATATTTAAAATAAAACTTCTTTTCAAGGCACATATGAAAAATGTTTAACATCATTTGTAATGCTCATTATTAAAAAACAACAACAACAACAAACCTTACACGTTTACCTTCTATGACTTCCAACTTTACATACCATTTTGCACTGAAATGAAACCGTAGATTGCACTCAAGATGTGCATTTTTTAAAGTCATGGTAAATATGTCTGTGTATTTCATTCTGCTTTTTCCTCATGATCTTAAACTATGTTTAAAAGAAAACTATGTAAAAACTCACCAAGTTAAGTCAGTAGGAAGACTCTAATTTGTCTTGTCTAACAGGAAACCTCTGTTGGAAATAGAGATGATGAATCAGACTTAACCAGATTCTGAATCTCATACAAGTCTTTACTTATTTTGGCTATTCTGAAAGGGAAACCCTTACAAAAGCAGGTAATACATTTGCTAGGAATTCCTAGTCAAAAATCACCATTCTTGTATTTTATCACTAGTTCTGGGTATGCTATTTTTTAGTCATCTCTGAAAAAGATTATACTTTGATATGGAAGTCTGAAAAATCCAAGCTAATTCCTTTAATCAACTGGCCTATGAATGCAGCAAAAATGAAATAAATGGTTTGCTTCGTGTCAACATGTACAAGAGGGGGGTCATCATCACATTTGCCAGTTACCTCACAAACTGTTGAAAGAATTCTTATTTCATTTTTATGTCAAATGTCCTTTATAAAAAGTGCTCTGTGGGTCAACTACACGAAAGCAAGATACATTTAAGCAAAGCAATGTATTCTATGGTTTTAATGAACAACTACCATAATGAGGTTCCTGGTGAAGACTGAGGAGATGTCTTGGCTAAAACACCACCACCACCCTAATTATCTACCATAGCCTACAAAATAACTCAAAACAGAAACAGGGCTAAGAGTGGTTGCCAGGCTTCCAGGAGCCTAACGTAAGCAGAAAATTCTAGCACTCTCTTCCCTTTTGTGGGAAAATGAAGTACTGCATACATACTGGGTGATTCCTTAAAAATAGAATCTTTTCTTGAAAATCTAAACACTAAACTTTAACTGGTACACCTACAAATAAACTTCTCATTTTCATAAACCAGTCTAGTTACTATCAATAATGGAAGGAGCCCTCACCAAAAACTGTCCTCAACTACTGATGCTAAAACAGGCCAGTCTTGATCAGAAGAGTTAAGAGTAGCAAGAGTCAGGCTGAATTCATTTAACAAATATTTACTCAACACCAACTGTGCACGGCATTCTTTCAGACACAGAGGTTAAAAAAAAAAAAAAAAAGACAAGGTTCCTGACCCTCTGAGGGTAGACAGACAAATACCTCTTAAGACTCTGTAAGTAGTCCCAGGCGGAAGATGCCAACCAACTCTAAGAAATGAAAATGCTGAGTGTTGGTGATTCTTAAAACAGAAACCAATACCTTTAGTCCCTTACCCTGTAAAAAAATTTTTTAAGTGTAAGGCTTTGGTTTCTCAGTTAATTTACTACAATGAACATTTTCAGGCCCAGTGGATTAGCAAAATGTAAGGAGTCTGACAATACTGATGAGGACTGGGAAGAACAGGGACACCTTTCACACTGTAGGTAGGAGGGCAAATTAATACAACCACTTTTGAGAAACAGTTTATTATCTAATAAAACCAAAGATCCAGCAATTCCACTCCCAAAAATGGCCCAGAGAAATTCCTGCACATCCATCAGCACACATGACAAGAATGTTCATAGCAGCCAAAAACATCAACAGTAGAATGGATACATAAATTATGGTACATTCATATAACAGGAAACTATATGGCAGTGAAATTAAACTACTGTTCTCCATAACAACATGGATGAAAGTTACAAACATATTGTTAGGTTCTGAAAGAAGACAGAGAAGAACACGCACTATATTATTCTATTTATATAAAGTTCAAAAACAGACAAAACTAAATTATAATGGCTTGTAAGGATTCCTAGGTGGTAAAATTATACAGAAAATGATTATCACAAATGTCAGACTCTCCACAAGAGTATGGGTTATGATCTAAAAGGAATACACAATATAGCAAGCTTCTGGGTGCTGGCAATGAGATATTTCTAGGTCTAATTGGTGGTTATATAGGTACTTGCTTTTTATAATTCATCTTTAAACTATAGTTATGTTTTATGTATTTTTCTATGTTTTATATTTCATAATAAAAATGTGCGAGACATATGTTAAAATACAGTAGCCACAAAGGTACACACACACATATATGTATGTATATATCCTCCTACATCTAAGGGTGAATACAATGTCTTGCACAGAATACACCCTTGTTTTTTTTCCAAGACAATTCATAAGGAGAAATCAGTAATAAAGAAGGGTCACCTAGGAATGAACACCTATAGACAGACTTTCCTATCATACTTTCTTTCTTTGAATTTAAATGAAATACCTGAGATCTGTATTTCAGGGAAATTTATAGTACTGACACAAATGTTTAAATCTGGCTACTCACCAGGAGCCATTAGTTAAAACCAGTCATTAGTTAAATAAAAAAATTATTATAAGAAATAAACCAGGGGCGCCTGGGTGGCTCAGTCATTAAGCGTCTGCCTTCGGCTCAGGTCACGATCCCAGGGTCTTGGGATCAAGCCCCGCATCGGGCTCCCTGCTCCGCGGGAAGCCTGCTTCTCCCTCTGCCACTCCCCCTGCTTGTGTTCCCTCTCTGTGTTTCTGTCAAATAAATAAAATCTTAGAAAGAAAAAAAAAGAAATAATCCAAAGTTTCTGAAGGCAAAGCCAAGATACAGTATTTTTTGGTATTACCTTTTTAGCTTAATCATGGCCTCTCATGGAACCTCCAGTGACTTCCCATCTCACTTGGAGTAAAAGCCAAAATCCTTGTAATGGCTGAAAAAGGACTGCACAACCGGACCTCATTACCTCTCTGGCCTCACCTCCAATTATGTTTTCCTGACCTCACTATGTTCCAGTCAAACTGCCCTTCTTTGCTGTTGTTCCTGAGACAGAACAGACCCATTCCTGCCTCAGGGCTTTGTACTTGCCTTTTTCTCTGGGTAACTCTTCCCCTAGACACTCTCCTGGCACGCTCCCTCACCACTGTTGGGTCTTTCTGTTAATAGTCACCATCTTCTGTGAGGCCTTCCCTGACACCCTTAAGATGTCATCCCCTTCCCCAAGGCCACAATCCTATTCCTCCTTCATTACTTCATTTTTTTCTCTAGCACATAAAATCATCTACCCTACTATATCTGGAATGTATGAAAGGCAGACTCCTGTCTGTTTGTCCCCAGACTGTGTCTGGCACAAGGGAGGCCAGAAATAAACGCTTATTTAATAAATGGTTGAATTAATCTTTCTTTTGGATTTCTGTTCTTGAAAGATTAGACAGTAACTCCATATATTTAAAAAAAAAAGTTTCCCCTCTATGTCAAATTTATTAACAACGTTTGTTTTACTAACAAGTTTCAGGTTTATTAGTATTAATCAGTCACGGATAAGGTAAGACCTATAAAGAGTTGATACAAAGCTGCATTTTCCCCCTAACAAATGTGCAGTCCCTGTTCTAGTAATAACAATGCTGGGAAGCCACTGAGAGACAAGAACTCTGTTCTAGCGCACTGGTGCGCTTGTAATACTGGCGTACCCACTACGGGAGCTTCTTGACAAGACACTGCATGAAGACTGCTGCCTTTAGTTAGGCTTTTTAAGTTTAGGGTTTTTTTTAAAATGAGGTTTTATTTTAATAGAAGGGGGGAAAAGGTGTTTTTAAAAAGAATTATGTAAACAAAATATAATTTCAAGAAGAAAGTTCTTTAGGGCGCCTGGGTGGCTCAGTTGGTTAAGTGACTGCCTTCGGCTCAGGTCATGATCCTGGAGTCCCGGGATCGAGTCCCGCATCGGGCTCAGCACCCTCTGACCCTCCCCCCTCTCATGTTCTCTCTATCTCATTCTCTCTCTCAAATAAATAAATAAATAAATCTTTAAAAAAAAAAAAAAAGAAGAAAGTTCTTTATATTTTTACTCCCACAAAAACGGAAGGCTTCTGTTATGTATCCCGATGAAATATCCCAAGGTAACTACAGTTAGAGAAAAAAAATTATTTTTGAGTTAGGTCCCAAAATTGTTATAGTAGTTTCCAGAGTGAAAGGGAAAAAAAAAACTCCATACTGTTAGTGTATCATATTATCTTATTCTAAAGAAAGATTTAAAATAGGAACACCTCTCCCCAGTATAAATCGTGGGATTGATGTGATAAAGAGCAGTTGAACTCCATTCAAACCTAGTGATTACAGTGGCAAACGGGAAATAATTCTCTAAACAAAACTGCCTATCAGGTGACATGACAGATATATCTGAGCATACAGACAGAGCTTATACTTTTGATGGAATGCTTCACTCAAGTTAAAACTGGAGTAAACTTAGATCCAAAGGTTACTTTCCAACCACAATACTTGTGACCTGAACCATATCCTAAGACATGAATATATCTGTGAGAAAATACACAGGTATCTGATATTGCACGGTTACACTTATTACTAAGGCTTCAACATTAAGGTCTGATCAATTGTTAAAAAAATACTTCACACATAAATTCTTATCAAATTCTCAGAGATAGTTCACATATTCATGAGGTGAAAATATCATGACTATATATTCATACATGACGTGGCGGCCCAAATTAGTTGTTAAGAAAGGAAGTCCTACTCAAACACTTGCAGCAGGCAGAGTGTATTATTAGAGAAGAGTAACAGTTTTCATGTGTAACACTTCAGCATTCCAAGCGCTCAAAGCTCTGAATAGCATCCATGTTTAAAGGGGAAAAGACACGGAGCATAAAAATTAAAAATATACTCAACCTTGCAATAATTAAGAAAGTATAGTGGATTAAAGAGTCCAGACAAAAAAAATTATAAATGAAAACTCCGATCATTGAAACATATGGTCCCTGAACAAAATTTATCGGTAATAATTCTAATAGAAGGTGAAGGCTTACATTTTTTAATGCTTAATTTGGCTAAGAATGCTCCAAGAAACTCTTTTATGAATATCAGCTATGTCTAGATCATGCTGAATTTAGAAGGTAACACAAGAATTCCCTGAACTGGACTGGAGATCAGTGCACAGCCCTACGCTTGGTGGGACGTATTCCAGGAGTTAAAAAGTAGTAAAAGAGGAAGGGAGAAAACGAAGAGGTGAGGAGTCACTGACATTTATGAAAAATAGCTACTGGACATGAGACAATAAAAATACAAAATACTGGAATGCAAAAGTTGCCAAATTTATCAGATTCCAAAAAGAATCCATGGGAAAAGAAAATT